AGAAAACGTGAACAAACTTATCCATGGACAGGTGCGGATGCACAGAGGGACAAATGGGGTCAGTTGACCCCATGGCAGCTGGGAATTGCAGTGGGGAAGGAATGGTGTGACCCCATGGCTGGCTGGTGTGTGACCCCATGGCGCACACCAAGTGCTCGATGAAATGCCTAGCATAGGAAGAAGAAGAAGCTTGCGCAGGCAGCGCCTGCCTTGCTCGCGCGCGAGCTTCTTTTTTTTTTAAAACCACCTGGCCAAAACGACGCCGTTTTGGTCCAGACGTGTTTTTTTTTTTTAAACCTGGCTCAAAACGAACAAAGAACCCCAGCCTATCTACCCGATTCTTCTTCCTCCCAGCAGCATCAGTTCTTCCCAAAACCTAATTTTTTTTCTTCAAAATTTCCTCTCCTCTAAAAACCTAACTAATCCCCAACCTCCACCCTGCCACTGTCGCCAACCACGTCAAGAAAAAATTAATGTTGTTGATTCAATATATTAATTAATTAATTCAATATAGATTAGTCTTTATGATTTCCCTCTCTAATATATTTAATTAATTGATTCAATATATTAATGTTGTTGTGTGGGTTTATAATTCATGGATTTTATTAATTTATGTGTAGAAAAAATTATCATGGAACGATTTTTTAAGAGAAAAGTGCTTATGGATAGTGAGTCTAATCCGGGTAGTTCTAGTGCAAGTGCCTATGGTAGTTCTAGCTACCAAAAAGAAGGATAGATTCTAAAACAGACTCCCACTAGTCTTCCCCATCAAAACTGGACACCAATCCCATGCTTCTAACATGTCCATGAAAAACACCATTTGGCAGACCCTTAGTTAACGGATCAGCAATCATGAAATGTGTACCAATATGATCAAGCTTCACAAGACCATCCCTGATATTTTCTCTAACTGACAGATATTTAAACTTCAAATGTTTAGTGCCTGATGATCTTTTGTTGCTTTTGGTGAAGAACACTGCAGCACTATTATCATTCCAAATCTGAACTGGTCTTTCAATTGAGTCAACAACTCTCAGACTTGTGATAAGATTCTTGAGCCAAATAACTTGACTTGCAGCTTCATAACATGCAATGTATTCAGACTGCATAGTTGATGTTGAAGTGTGTGTTTGCTTCACACTCTTCCACGAGACAGCTCCTCCTCCAAACATAAATACATAACCAGAAGTGGACTTTAAGGAATCCACACATCCTCCCAAATCTGCATCTGCATAACCAACTAACTCAAGATTCTCAACTTGCCTATAAACCAAATTGTAACTTTTGGTTCTCTGTAAATATCTTAAAACTTTCTTTGCAGCCACCCAATGTGCTTGGCCTGGATTGGACTGAAATCTCCCCAAAACACTTACTGCAAAAGCTAAGTCTGGTCTAGTACAGACTTGAGCATACATCAAACTTCCTACAAGTGAGGCATAGGGCTTGTCAACCATTTCTAATTTTTCTTGTTCAGTTTTAGGTGATTGTTCCATACTCAGTTTGTCTCCTTTTGAGACTGGAACATCTCCTCCTGCACAATTCTCCATATTAAATCTTCTCAACACCTTCTCTATGTAACCTTTTTGAGATAATCCAAGCAATCCTCTCTCCCTGTCACGACTGATTTCAATACCAAGTACATAAGAGGCTTCTCCAAGGTCTGTCATATCAAAAACTTTTGACAGAAAAACTTTGGTATCATGTAGTAAAGTCAAATTTTTGCTTGCCAAGAGAATGTCATCCACGTAAAGTATGAGAAAAATAAAATTTCTCCCACTGACTTTAATATATATACATTCATCCACAGGGCTTTCACTAAAACCATGAGACCTCACCACTTCATCAAATTTCAAATACCATTGTCTAGAAGCTTGTTTCAATCCATAAATGGATTTCCTTAATTTGCAAACCTGATCTTCTCTCCCTTCTTGAATGAAACCCTCAGGTTGCTGCATGTAGATCTCTTCATAGAGGTCTCCATTCAAGAATGCAGTCTTTACATCCATTTGATGGAGGTAGAGATTGAAATGAGCTACCAAAACCATCATGACTCTAAACGAATCCTTTGTAGAGACTGGAGAAAATGTCTCATTGTAATCAACTCCTGCCTGCTGTGTGAATCCTTTTGCAACTAGCCTAGCTTTGTATCTGTTAATGAGGCCCTTGGAATCCCTTTTAGTTTTGTAAATCCATTTGCACCCTATAGGTCGACATCCTTGAGGCAATTGAACCAATTCCCATACTTTATTTTTCTCCATTGAATTTAACTCAGATTTCATTGCCTGCAACCATTGCTCATTTACTGAACTTGTCATAGCTTGTTTAAGGGTGATAGGATCTTCTAGGAATGGATCATTTTGCTCAGATTCTTGAAGACAAACATAGTCGCTTGTCCCAGCAGCATCAGTTCTTCCCAAAACCTAATTTTTTTTCTTCAAAATTTCCTCTCCTCTAAAAACCTAACTAATCCCCAACCTCCACCCTGCCACTGTCGCCAACCACGTCAAGAAAAAATTAATGTTGTTGATTCAATATATTAATTAATTAATTAATTAATTCAATATAGATTAGTCTTTATGATTTCCCTCTCTAATATATTTAATTAATTGATTCAATATATTAATGTTGTTGTGTGGGTTTATAATTCATGGATTTTATTAATTTATGTGTAGAAAAAATTATCATGGAACGATTTTTTAAGAGAAAAGTGCCTATGGATAGTGAGTCTAATCCGGGTAGTTCTAGTGCAAGTGCCTATGGTAGTTCTAGTTCTAGTGGACAATTGTAACTTCGTATTTTTTAGTGTTATTTTCTTCTTGACAAAATTTCGAGATTTTACACTATGACCCCATGGTGACACAATCTTGCGTCCGCCATTGTCCATGGACAAAGCGTTGTTTATTCGTAAGACAATATGAACTTATCACTCACAAATTCATACTAACATAGTATGTATGTCTATCATAGTCAGTAAAATACAGAATGAGTATAATTTGTATAAATCATGTACGTGTATTTATTATTCAGCAAATCTCTTAAAAATATAAGTTGAAAAATTAAACAATTATATAACAATTAAATTTTTTTATTTAAATTTTGTATTCCTTTTTCCATATACATGAAAATACTGATAAAATGCGAATAAAATATGTATTATTGCAAAATATTGAAAAAAAAAACTTTTTCTTAAAAATACATATGTACGTATATAATATGTGAAAAATAAGTTTTTTTTAACACGTAACTTTTCATATAATTAAGAAGTGCACAAAAACATAAGTATATATATACACACACGTGTATAATACGCAATCAATTTCCTAAGCATTTAAAAAATTAGGCTAAAAGTCACTTTTTGTTACATTGGGAGGAAAGAAACCCTTTGGAGTTTCGAACCTGGGTGTCAAACAGGAGGAAGGGGGGAGGCCACCACTGTGGTACTTACTTTCGAGGGCTAAAAGTCACTTTTGATCCTTGTAGTTTACCTCTTTTTCTCATCCTTGTAGTTTCAATTTGATAAATTGTGCCCCTATAGTTTCATAACTGTAGCAATTCAAGAACAAGTCACGAATTTCGTGTTCACGACGTCAGTGGTATTTCCATCCATTTTTCATTAAAAAAAATGAGAAATTTAAAGTTTATTTATTTTTAATCACAAACAAGAAACATGCAATTGATTTATCATTGAAATGAAATTCCCAAAGTGACCAAAGTAGCAAATAAAAATAAGAGCATTCCCAATCTAGCTTTAAATTCATCAATCAACAAAACCTAAAGTCAAAATCTCGCTCAAGCATATCATCTTAGAGTTTTCCTTGAATTGACGGAAATACTCCTGATACCGTAGAAGAAATTCGTGACTTCTTCTTGAATTGTTACAATTATGAAACTACAAAGGTATAATTGACCAAATTAAAACTACAGGGACGAAAAGTGAAAAAGATGTATATTACAAGGACTAAAAAGTGCCTTTTGCTCTCATTCCTTAAGAGATGTCAGGGGTTCGATCCTTGCTTTTGTACGGAGTCACCACTTTGGCCAGCACTTTACCCCTTACGGGCCGACCGGGTGTGAGCGGGGATTAGTCTGGGTTGTGGTTAAGGCTAAGGTGCCACCCATAGTTGGGGCCCATTCAGGACCACCTCCTGGTTCAGACAAAAAAAAAAAAAAAGTGCCTTTTGGCAAAAAAATTATCAATAGTATTTGTTTTACACGTGGCGCGAAAGCAATGGCTATTGGAAGGAAATCACATGTACCTTCCAACACCTAATCAATAGATTCGTATTAAAAAAAAAGAGAAATTTAAAGTTTATTTATTTTTAATCACAAACAAGAAACATGCAATTGATTTATCATTGAAATGAAATTCCCAAAGTGACCAAAGTAGCAAATAAAAATAAGAGCATTCCCAATCTAGCTTTAAATTCATCAATCAACAAAACCTAAAGTCAAAATCTCGCTCAAGCATATCATCTTAGAGTTTTCCTTGAATTGACGGAAATACTCCTGATACCGTAGAAGAAATTCGTGACTTCTTCTTGAATTGTTACAATTATGAAACTACAAAGGTATAATTGACCAAATTAAAACTACAGGGACGAAAAGTGAAAAAGATGTATATTACAAGGACTAAAAAGTGCCTTTTGAACCAAGGTGGTTGGTGTGAGTGGTTCGGCACTCTCATTCTTTAAGAGAGGTCAGGGGTTCGATCCCTGCTCTCGTACGGAGTCACCACTTTGGCCAACACTTTACCCCTTACGGGCCGACCCGGTGTGAGTGGGGATTAGTCTGGGTTGTGGTTAAGGCTTAAAGGTGCCACCCATAGTTGGGGCTCATCCAGGACCACCTCATGGTTCAAACCCAAAAAAAAAAAAAAAGTGCCTTTTGGCAAAAAAAATTATCAATAGTATTTGTTTTACACGTGGCGTGAAAGCAATGGCTATTGGAAGGAAATCACATGTACCTTCCAACACCTAATCAATAGATTCGGTTTGAGTGATACCGTTTAAGCCCTAAAACATTTCCCACCATTTGAATCATACCCGTTTCCGCCGCCGCCGCCACCAGTCAACAGCACAGGTCGTCACCGCCATCCCCAACCTTCTCTCCGAGCCCTCATCCATCCGCGAGGTTAATGTTGATGGGTGTGATTGATATATACAACGCTTCCTCACTCCGATTGACCAATATCAGCACCAGTCGCAGACCCAGTTGTGGAACTGAAGGGAACAAGAGGAGGGTGGTGGCTATGGCTTCCACAACTCCTGTGCAGAAACAAGTCAATGAGGCTCAACAGCGTTTGACCGGTGACTCGTTCATTCGACCCCATTTGAGGAATTTATCTCCTTATCAGTCCATTTTGCCATTTGAGGTATTTCAATCTAAACGCATCTTTTTCCCTCTTTGAATCGATTTGAAGTCTTTTTTTGGAGTTTTGGTGAACGTTTCTGAGAAAAATGGTGAATGAGGGCTGAGCTAGACTTGATAATGCTTGGTTTGGAGTTTAAGTTCTTGCTATTTACTTTTGGGTGAAAATTTCTATTTTGTGTTTTAATTGTATATAATTTAAAAGGATGCAATGGCTGAACTACTCGCTTATAAGTTTCTTTCGGTTTATCTCGATTCAGTTGTCTGTATAATGCATCTTATTTATAATTCAAGTTTGGCTTAAATGAGCCAGAAATTCAAGTTTGGTTGAGAAGTAATTTTCTGTGAACTAATATTTGATTTTAGCATATGCAATGCATAATTAATATTAGTCAGAAATTTTTGAAAAATTTGAGCTGGAGCAGCCTGTTCTTAATAAACCTGGATTGAGCGCCAAAGAATCTCATGCTTGTATAATATATTTTCTTTTCTGCTTCAATGTACCAGATCTTGATTAATCTTAATTGTTATTTAAACAAGTAAAAGTTAGGTCTTTGTCCCGGTGGGGATGTATTTCTCTTCTACTGTTGATGGTATTTTCAAAAATTAGTATTTTTTGCAGTCTGCTAAAGAAATGGTTAGTCTGGACTTTCTTTTTGTTTCTTCTGATTCCGGTGAATATTTATACATAATTGGTTCCATTATGATGGTTGTTTAGGTTGAATTAGACATCTCTCAATAACTATTTCAATTGGTAAATTTCTGGCCAACTAGTGACTAAGTTTCTTTGGCTACAGGTTTTGTCGGCCCAACTTGGAAGGAAGCCTGAGGACATTGTCAAATTAGATGCAAATGAAAACCCTTATGGTCCTCCTCCGGAGGTTAGTCATATGTGCCACTGTACTTGGTTTTTAAGCACAATAATTTGTTATACTACAAATGATGTGGTGGAGTTATTTGTTTATCGGTTTCCAGCCTGTGTTAAATGGCATCATGCCAAACTTTTTAGACCCCTTTATGTCCTTACTGCAATTTCAGATTGTTTGTAGGTTTTTGAAGCTTTGGGTGCACTGAAATTCCCATATATCTATCCTGACCCTGAAAGCCGTCGGTTACGTGCTGCCCTTGCAAAGGATTCAGGGCTTGAATCTGATTATATTCTTGTTGGGTGTGGTGCGGATGAGCTCATTGATTTGATTATGAGGTTATAAATGAAACATTATGTTTGTATAAGATTCCAAAGCATGCTATCCTTTGTTTTTTTTTGTCTATCAGCCCCTGATTTTGTCTTTCCTTTGTCCTTGATTAAAATATTGCTGAAGATGTGTGCTTGATCCTGGTGACAAGATTGTTGACTGCCCTCCAACATTCACAATGTATGAATTTGATGCTGCAGTAAATGGGGCTTCTGTCATTAAAGGTAAAGACGGCTTTCTGCTTAATTTTTTGTTGGTAATTTTATCTTAGAATATTTTAACTTCTTATCCATGAATACAAATGAAACTTTTCGTACCACAGCTCTTGTACTTTGATGTACAATATGTGTGTATAATCTGTAAGTGTTCAATGGAACCCTGCAGTGCCAAGGAAGTCGGATTTTAGCTTGGATGTAGACGTCATTTCAGATGTTGTTGTACAGGAAAAACCTAAATGCATATTCCTAACTTCTCCCAACAATCCAGATGGGAGGTAACTGAAACTTGTTTCTTTCTGTGCATAGTTTTATTATTCTTATATCCCAAGATTGAAATGAGGGCTCTTGTGTGTTTTATATTATACAGTCCATTAATGAAACTCTCTAGGCTACACACTGAAAAAAATTATTAATCAAATGGATAATCTATGGTATTAAGATTTGGAATTTGATTCTGAAGACTTTTTTTGTCCTTTTATATTAAGAGAAACTGTATGGTTTCAAAAATATGAATTTTACACTAATTTTTCATGTTCTATCTATTCTATGGCAGTATAATCAGTGACGAGATTCTCTTGAAAGTCCTTGAGCTTCCTGTACTGGTGGTGCTGGATGAAGCATATATTGAGTTTTCAGGACTTGAATCACGGATGCAGTGGGTGAAAAAGCATGAGAATCTAATTGTACTTCGGACTTTTAGCAAACGAGCTGGTATTCTTGATCTTGAATTTCTTGTTATAATTCTGGTTGGGTACTATTAACAGTAAATTTCTAGCAATAAGATTTTTGTGATATGTTTAGGTACCATTTAGCTTGTCAATAAATTTCTACTGACAATATTTTGGTATCAAGCCTGTTGATAAGTTTCTAGTGACAATATTCTATGAACAACATTTTCTTTTTTTCTTTTGTGAAATCATTTTCTTCTGAGAACTTGTATGTTGGTCGATATAATTTTGTTTCGGTACTGTTGACCCTGTTAATAAAAGAATTTATTATCACAATGGCATGGTTTTGGCATTACAAACTATAGTTCTCCTTTGGTACTGTTGGACCTGCTAATCAATATCCAGTAACAGGATTTGCAATCCAAACTTTCATGTGTTGTGTAAATTTTTAGTTTGTTAGTTTCAACCTTTTTGTAAATGGTTAGATTTTTATGGAATGTAAAAATGGTGCAGGCTTAGCTGGACTCCGCGTGGGATATGGAGCATTTCCATTGACCATCATTGAATATCTTTGGAGAGCAAAGCAACCATATAATGTGTCTGTTACTGCT